AGATGACGCAGGGGGGAAGGCTGTTTCCTCATGAAGATGGTGAACATATATCACGTAAGTAGAGCAAAAATTTAATTTTAAAAAAATCTTTACACGCGTGCAATGCGCGAAATCGTATGAGGTCGTTCGGCCATATGACGTCGGTAGATTACATTAGATCATGCAGGAGGGAAGGCTGTCACCTTATAAAGGTTGTGACCAAAAATTATGTAAATAGAAGAACAATTTATATTTTAAATTTAATTTTAAAAAAATCTTTACACGCGTGGAATGCGCGACATCATATGATGTTCTTAAATTTGTCCTTACTTCTAACATCATATGACGTCCCTAGATTACATTAGATCATGCAGGAACGAAGGATGTCTCCTTATAAAGGTGGTGACCAAAAATCATGTAAATAGAACAACAATTCATATTTTTAATACAATATTAAAAAAAACCTTACACGCGTGGAATCCGCGACATATGATGACGTTCGGCCAGCTGCCCTAACTTTTAACGACATCATATGATGACGTTCATCTGATAAAGGTTAATGATATTCCCTGAATTGCATAGGCTGTTTGCTTCAAATGATAAGATGATGACATGAACTGGAAGGTGATATCATGAACTTTCTGGACTGAATTTACTATTACATTTCATGCATTTGGCACTGTAACATGGTTTGACAGGTGATAAGGAAAATATTTTCACAACCCCGACTTCAGTTAACTTTCTTGTGAATGAGAGCCAGTAACTTACTCATGACAATATGGTTTTAAGACATCGAGGCTCCCAAATTTTCTAGACATTCAACCAGATTGTGGTGCTCATTTATGTTGGAGACTGGGTCGATGCCAGGGCCATAGTGGGATGGAAGGATCACGTAAACTGAAGAATCTATGACTGCATCACGAATCGAATCCGTGACCTTCCGGTTTGTAACACAGTGCCTCAACCATGGAACAGAAATATTTTCTTTTCCATCATGTCCAGTACAATTCTGAGGTCTATCCAGCTCCCCTTTTGTGAGTACCAAGGGCTCTATCCTTAGGTATTAAGCAACCAGAGCATATTTTCACCACTCACCTTCATCTAATAACAATGTCTAGATTGCATACCTCAACATGCCTTCACAGCACCGTGATTAAGGACTGTCATAACTTTACCTTAGTACATTTGTCTTTATTAGTTATGTACTATAAGAGTCTTTTTAAGTCTAAGATAATTATAATTTGAAACCTATGAAAGTGAATAAAGTTTACAAAAAATCAAATTTAATATACAGATTCAATCAATGCATTTATTAATTCTAATTCAAAACTTGTTTGTTTTCAGTGTGCTAGGTGACTGGCCAAACACATATTCTTTCACAAAGGCACTTGCAGAAGATTTGATCAGAGACGAGGCCAGAGGTCTTCCAATTGGCATATTACGACCTTCTATAGGTAAGTGCAGCATGCTTATTGATCCTTCTTAACCAGTACAAAACTTGCATAAGGAGGTCCATGATCTTTAGAAAACTGGGTGTGTCTGTAAAATCTTATGGTTTTAACCATAATTATATTAAGGCACTTCAATGAAAACTACCAAAATTTAGATTCATTTGCATACCAAATACACATCAGTTGATTAGTCAGTTATTTTTCATGTTGTCTCAAGTGCTGACGTGATGCAGTGCTGAATGACATTGCAGGATAATGCAAACGAGGAGTTTGTAGTGATGAAGGGGAAGTTGTGTAAGGTGACAAAGTAAATACTTCCCCCACTCCACATATGTTGCTATTGTTTGACAGTTTACTGCATATTGTTAAGCTATGTGCATCCAGCTCTTCCATCCAGGTGGCTGAACAATTTGCTGGAATCTCATAAAATCATACTGTATGTGAGAAACTAGAACATGTTGTAACCATCCTTAAAGCCGCCTTTAGACGCAAATTAAGTTAGCTAAGTTCAGTCCCTTTAGGTCTTCATTAGGGGTGATGTATGGGTGATGATGGGTTGAACTTGTGGAATTATTTGGGTTAATTACTTTAATTGCTCAAGTTTGGCCCAGCAATTAATAACGAGGGTACCTGTTTAGGTGGTGATAGGATTCTGGGGCATGGAATATCTGTAAGTTGTAAGTTATATTCGGCCTTAATAGTGGGTTTGATAGGTCAGCTCAGGTAAGTCTTGACTCTGTCTTAGGCGTGATAGCAGGCTATAATTTGAATGGCTGACAAATACACAATCAAACTGCACCCATTCATAAAATAAGAAGGCAAATGATGATCCCAACTGCTTTTTTATTAATGCCGTCATATGGTTGCATAAATACAAGAGTTCGCTCTCTGTGTGCAATGTTAGGAAGACCTAAATTCAAACACTTTCACCATTTCTGAAATACCATTTATATTTACTTACTTGAACTGCAAAATAGTGACTTCTGTCAGATTATTTACTGAGTTTATTTTCCTGAAAGCAAAAAAGATCACTAAGTTAATATTCAGAATTTGGGGCTGGATGGTACTCTGACATGTCCAAACACATTCAATAGTATTTACAGAGTGTTCAAGCCAAGAGTTCCTATAGAAAGTCATCTCTCCTCAGTTTCACAATCTTGAATGTAGAGCATCCTCCTCCAAATCCTAACCAGCTGTTTCAAATAGCCAGGAGTGCGCAAACATCAAGCAGCTCAGATAATTAAATCTAAGAGTAGTATCAGCCCTGGTCATGCCACCTTAAAAGCTACAACTTCTTCTCATATCAAGGACAGTATTTTGAAAGGAGTTCTGATTGTGTATCCTAGCCTCCTACTTCCAGCGTCCTGTCTTAAGTTAAAGAATCTGCCTAACTCACTTGACCTACTTTGGTGACCAACATACTACTTTAATTCCAAAAAATCATTCACATTGAGGTAATAAAAGTTATCAAAATTATTCACCCAGAATTCGATGGTTACAACATATATGGCAGCCATATCTGTGTTTGAGGAAAAGAAGCATGAAATTATAGATATAACTGCTTTTTCTTTTCTTTAATTCTCTGTTATGATAAATGCAATAAACATGTAAATTTTCGTTACAATAGTCATTCATAAATTTATAATTGAGCCACTGGCACTTCAGCACATGAAAACTAAAATTTTCAGACTTCATCATTTTAGTAGTGGTATTTCCTTCAATCCAGAATACGACCATGAGTTGGTTGGCAGAGCCTCAAATATACAAGGGTTGGATAAAAAGTAGTGGCAACACTGCTGTAACATGAAAGATGTGCGTCAGGTGGCACCAGCGCCATCTGTAGCTGATAGCAGAAGTTCAGTTGAAGTAGTGTAGTGAGTGGCTCTGATTGTATTTCATTGAGTTGCATTGTGCATCGTCTTGAAGTGCAGGAGCCCAGTTCATGCACCCTAACAACATGTTTACGAAACAAGAACAACGCTCCTGGATAAAAACTGCAGTTGCACAAGGTCGTAGTGCACAAAACTGTTATCAGGGACTGTGAGAAGCATGTGGTGATGCTGCTTTGCCATATTGCACAGTGACACGGCGGGTGAAATTGTTCTGTGAAGGGAGGGATGCCATTCAGAACAGCTGTCGTTCAGGATGACCCCGTGTTGACAACCACACAATTCAGCTTCTTGCTTCTTTGCTGAATGTCGATCGTCGATGGGCTGCAGCGGGAGTTAGCTGCTGAGGTAGGCGTATGTCACAAAACCGTGCTCCACATTCTGCACGATATTCTTGGATACCGCAAAACTGCAGCGCGTTGAGTACCCCATACAATGCCCGAGGTGCAACAATGGCAACGTTATGCAATTGCACAGGACTTGTTGGACCGGTACCAGAGGGAAGGTGACTACTTCCTTGGAAGGATCGTCACTCTGGACGAAACTTGGGCTTGCTCATACGAACCACACTTGAAGCGACAATCAAATGAATGGAAGCATCCTGGCTCTCCTCGTCCAAAGAAAGTGCGCCCTACACAGAGTAATGTGAAGGCGATGTTCATTGTGGCATATGACACTGATGGAGTGATACTGCACCACACTATACCTCAATGACAGACAGTAAATGCCGCCTACTACTGCAATTTCCTGTGTAATCATCTTCTTCCAGCACTCAGGAGAAAGTGATGATACTTCTTGGCAACGAACCCCATCATCCTTCATGACAATGCAAGGGCTCATACTGCTGATGCTGTCAAGGATCTCCTTCGCCGCTGGGAGATACTGCAACATCCACCATACCCGATATGAGTCCGTGCAATTATGATCTCTTTGCCAAAATGAAAGAACCACTGTGACGGACACATTACAACACAAGAGAGGAGATTATTCGTGCTGTAGGGTGGTCACTGCTGGATATCAACAAAAGTGGATGCACTGATGGTGTACGTTGCCTTCCACAAATTTGGCAGAAGTTGGTACACATGGGGGGCGATTATATTGAAGGAATGTAAGTGTGTTTACCTCAGGTAATAAAGTCATTTCAGAACTATAGAGGTGTTGCCACTACCTTTTATTGTAACCGTTTACTAGTGGACTCGAATGTGTGAGGCCCTGGAGGGGAGGTGCCTACGTGATAATAGCACGGCATTATTTCACATGTGCAGTTTTGCAGATGGAGAAGGGGTGGTGGATCCCCGGATTGATGTGGGGAATGATGTCATCTAGGGTGTGGTGCTGGGAAGGCCCGTAGGTCCGTTAGCGTCGCCGAGCCAGTAGTATGCAATATATAATAAGAAACCCTCCTTGTGAGTGGAGGCACTTGCTTTGTTCTTTATGGAATCGTCTCTGTGAGCGAAACAGTGTAAATGTAACTGCCCCAGGCAATTGCGTTGTTCTTTATAGAATCGCCTCTGTAAGCGAAAAAGTGTAAATGTAACTGCCATAAATAGTGATTGTGACCAAAAATGAGTATATTAAACCTAAGGTAAAGCCACAGGTTAGTCGTGTTAAAAGTTTCTCCGAAGAAAGACCTGTTATCGACCTGAGATAGAGATCCATGCCTACCATTATCCTAAATCCAACCTGGTTACTTCTGAACCCAAATTGCCAGGAAGGGTAAAGGTGGACGGAGCGGCAAGCAGGAGTAGCCGTAGCAGTGACGAGGAGGAAAGGAGCGACCGGAGCAACGACGAGCAAACAAAGAGAAGAGGGACGGCAGCATTATCTGACCTATGTATAATGTTGTGTTTAGTGAATGTGAGACTGGCACTAAAATATATCCTGCTCTACGTAACCTCTGAAAGATAAAGCTATCCCTCTGCATAATTAAGCACTATAACAGGAAGATATATGGGGGAGTAGAGGCATATCTCCACCATTCTTGACCTCGGCACTATATGGTTAGTGGTCAGCTACAAGTAAAGGGCCGCTATTTCCTCAGGAAAAGAGCCCCTGGAACCCTTTGGGTGGGAGACTGAATGGGACCCACAGCTGGTCTGTAGCAGAGAAAAACCTCTAGCTTTCATGGGAACAGAACCCCAGCCATCCAGACCGTAGTTGCTATACCAACAGAGCTATCCCAGCTCCTGTGTAATCTTTAATGTATATATTCTTATAAATTGTGTTCAATAAACCTGAACAAGCAGCACATTACCGCAGGCCTGATGTTTCACTTGTGGGCTTTATCTCTGACCTAGCACTTGGCTAATTACAGACTAATAAAGTTAGTAGTTTCGTAAAGCGGCCTCCATAATCTAGAGGTAACGTTCCCACCTCATGACTCGTAGTACGCGGGTTCAAATACCCGGCGGAGGTTGTCGAACTTTTAAGGGCGGAAAAAATTCAGGGAACAAGTCCTCCGGGATGGACTTTAAGCCGTGGGTCCCGTGTCGTAGCTTTACGGCATGTAAAAGAACCTCATACCTCCAAAGGAGGTCACTGAGCCAAAATTGCGGACNGGCTAATTACAGACTAATAAAGTTAGTAGTTTCGTGAAGCGGCCTCCATAATCTAGAGGTAACGTTCCCACCTCATGACTCGTAGTACGCGGGTTCAAATACCCGGCGGAGGTTGTCGAACTTTTAAGGGCGGAAAAATTCAGGGNTAGGATATAGAGGCTGGCAGAAATGATAGAGGGAAGCACAATGGACCACTACAGGTCTAAGTGCATGGGGAAACCCACCCTCTCTAATAAGTAACTAACTAACTAGTAGTTTTGTATGAATGAAGGATGATAACACTTATAAGTATCAAATATGATAAAAATCTGTTAAAATCTCAGACAGTAGAGTACCAAACAGACTGCATTTCCAATCATACTTCTTTTTTGACTCTGGGGTATATAATATGTACGCATTTACTGCATCCAAGAAATCTAGATTGCAGTCTCTTTTAAGTTGTAATACCATAGTCTCACAGATGGTTTCACCACCATGTAAGTCACACATCACCATGACATCATTTCTTAAGATTACAATAGTCTGTCTGTGGGGCAGAAATTATCCTCTGCTACACCAGGATTTAACCCTTTGCTAATCCTAACATAGTAAAAGTAAAAGGGTCCTGCCCTCCTAAATAACCAAATCTTATTTAAAATATTAATACCCATAAAAAACATGCACTGATGTTTTAAATAGAATGGGCAAAGGGTTAAATTCATGTCAGATAGTAAGAATAAATATTTTCATGAATGATGGACTCATTAGGTTTGATGAAGGAACATGCACCTACCATAGCCACTAATAATCCCATTTCTTCTGATGGTTTTACAGTTGTGAACACTGCAAGTGAACCTGTAGTGGCTTGGATCAACAATGTGTATGGTGCAGCAGGAGTAGTGACAATTACAGTAATGGGACTTCTCAAGTCTATGTACTGTGACAAAGACAATGCAGCAGACATTGTTCCAGTTGATATGGCCATCAACGCTGCATTAGCTATTGCTTGGGAAGTGGCACAGCACACGTGAGTTTCTAATAAATAAAACAGCTCTCACCACAAACACTACTTGAATTGGGTGCAGAGAGAAAGAAAGATGGTCCTGCAAATTAAAACAAGAAAAGAGCCTATGGAGAGCTTGTTTACCTTATGTATACAGCTAATATAAGATTTTGCAAAAAGATTTAACTATTAATAAAACTGAGTCCAATGAAGTACCAAGTCAGGTGTGAATTCCGAACAGGAATCAGAATTCATGATACAGGGTGCATCAATGAATCAATTAACTCACTGAAAACAGAAGTCTATTTCCCATAAATAACATCCAACAGATGACCACAATTCCGCTGTAGGCACTCGGTAAGTCTCTTCCTAAAGTCACTCATTACTCTTTGCAGCATCTCTATGGGAATTCGTTCAATTTCTTCTCGAATTCGATGTTTCAACTCCTGAACAAAAGTAAATAAAATTACATAATAAATAATATCAAATCAATTTCTTTTTGGAACAGCTGTATCACGTAGCTGTATACAATAAAATAACACAATGAAAAGTGAACATTTGGTGAAAACACCCAGAGGTACCAGAATTTATTAATACTTAGCATACATACATGAAAGGGAAGTTACTTCTTGAAATAATGGAGGAAGTACTTTCCTTCAAAGTATTGGTGAATTTCTACTAGTCATCAGTCTACAAAGTCACCAAGAAGCTCAAAATTAGTATTTCAGCAAAGTTGTTTGCTTTGTCTGGCAGATGTGAAAAATGATTTGCAGGTAACTCTCCAATTCATTCAGTTTTGTTACAGTTGTGCACATTACCCACTGAAAGAAGTGAAGTACTTTCTCACAATTTCAAACACCTCGACTCCTTCCCCAAAAGAGGGGACTGGTTCTTCTTGTTCTTATTCTTCTTCCTCCTCCCTTTCCTTAACATCACATATTATTTCCTTATCTTGAGAACATCCTGTTACGCACACACTATTTTTTGCACTTTACAAATCCTTGAAATCAATGATTAGTCTTCTTCATATAGGAGATATGTCTATACCCATTTCAACACTGTCATTACAGCTGAAGACTGCTTTCTTGCAATAGTGGGTTGACTACATTCCAAGCAGTTGTCAACATACACACTGCTTGGAGAACATTTAGTTTCACCTCCTGATTTCTCTCTACATAAGATACTGTTTTGTTAACTAGTCTTTGAGTTGATGCAGTGTATTTTACCCAAGTCAAGTGACTGCAAATGGTAAGTGAAATTTGCAAGGAGAAACATCACTTTAATGTGGAAATGAGCTGTTCTTGGAGGATGGAACAAATATTTACAGTGAACATGACCAACATTTACACTGACAACATGACCACAAGTTTAAATGACACGGTGATGGTGATAGGCTAGAGATGGATGGGCAACTGAACGACCTGACTCCCCGTTCCTGCTTCATAATATGTCAATATGTTGAGGCATCAATTTTATAGATCGGTGGGTGTGTGGGTGTGTGTGTGTGATTTTCAGGATGCAGCACAGTGACACTTGTGCAAGGTTAAAATTTCACACCATTTATGGTTCTGCAATGTGTGGGTTTTCTTAAACAATTCACATAATTGTAAAATTCCTCCCTCCTGCAGCAATAAAAAGAAGGAAAGAAAGAGAAGAAATGTCCACACACAAAGCACAACTAGTACACCCAACTTGTTCAAGACTTAAAATGACTATGGTGGCATAAATGACATGGTCTTGATAGAGAACAATGCTGGTGTCCGAAAGTGATACTTCTTACTAATCCCTTTATTTTCATATAGCCAGTCACACAGCCTCGAACGGCAGTAGCTATGAAAATAAAAAATAAATTTTGATCACTGTGCCACAGAAATCTACTCTGATTGGAGGGGCTGGAGGCAAAAGTCAGTGTGGAGAACTTGGTATGGCTTGGCATCCGAAGTAATAACCTGCTGTCCCACTCCATGGCTAACTCGGTTTTGGCGTGTGTTCATTATGTGAATATTGATA